TGTCACAAGCATTTATTTTAATTAAACCCTCGTCTGTGGTGTGACATCATGGCGGTCGGATGCAGACTCAGGCTCTCTGCAAACATTTGTATATTTCTTTGCATTTATGTGTCTTTTGTAAACTACACGTCCTTATATCTGCAGAAGAGCACCTTTCTAAACGACAGTGATGTGTATTTCGTCTCAAAAGTGAGCTGCAGAACTGAAATTGCGGGTAATTTACGTCAACAGACGAATCCGTCCGGAGATAAAGAGCTTAGTAGTTCGCTCAAAGCTGTTATGCTTTGTAAGCTCTTTCATCGAGCCTGTTTCGCCCTAGCCTCTAGCTCTGGCCGGTAATATTGAGTCTAATCCCGGCTACCAGACGCTACACGACATAAGGAACACTCGTGGACTGAAAATTGCTCCCTTAAACATTCGAAGTCTCGTAAACAAGACCTACTCTTTGCGCCTTGAGGGAATCGACAGTAAAACAGTGGACATTCTAACTCTATCCGAGACATGGTTGGATGGGAATATTTGCGACACAGAAATTAATCTTCCTGGATTCGTGTGCGTTCGTCAGGATCGCACTGGCATTAAAGAGGGATATGGTGGTGTAGCCATCTATGTGAGAGAAGGTTTGGCTTTTCGCCTGCGGAATGATATTACAAGAATGTCTATGGATCGAGTTGATTAGAGACAAATGCAAGCCAACACTCGTCTGCTGCGCTTATAGAGCACCGGATTCTGACTTTCAGACCTTTATTTTTTCGCTACATGAGAGTAAGTCATCTGTAGATCTGGAAAAATCGGATGTGGTAATTCTAGGCGATTTTAACGCAGACATGATGGCGAGTTCTAAATTGCAAAAAAGAGATAAACAAGAACTTCTTAACTTTTGGCGGGCCTACAACTTCACTCAGTTAATAAAAGAACCGACGCGCATAACTGACACCTCGCGGACAATGATCGACTTGCTCTTTGATAATAATGAACAACGCATTGTCAAATCTGGTGTTGTTCCGGTACCGCTCAGTGACCATTTTCTGGTATTTTGCATAATTAAAGCTGGTATTACAGCAAAGGCTAAACCGAGAATACTCGAGTATCGCTCCTATAAGAATTTCAACCCGACTTTATTTAATGATGATCTTAGGGATATTCCCTGGCATATTGTTGAGAACGAGGACAACATCGACGATGCCTTGTTTGTGTGGAACAAAATGTTTCCGGAGGTTGCTGATCAACACGCTCCAATGAAACGAAGGCGTGTCAAGGGAACACCTCTTCCATGGGTGAACAGTCAAATAAGTGATACTATGAAAGAACGTGACTGGGCGCATAGAAAGGCGCGAAAATCGAACTCGGCGCGTCTTTGTTCAATGTATGCAAAGCTTGGGAACAAGGTTAATGGCTTAGTACGTACTGCCAAGTCTATTACAGTGACATGATCGAGGAAGCAAATAATAACTCAGAAAATGTGTGGAAAGCAGTGAACGAAGCATGCAATCGGAACTCATCTTCAGAGAGTATTCAGTGTATTATCTCTGATGGTGTTCAGCATATAACATCCCAATCCATTGCTTCTTCAATGAATAGCTTCTTTGCTTCTATTGGTCGAATTCTAGCAAATAGAATATCGACTTCCGTCTTGAATTTAAATTCCATTTCAAAACACCCGCTTTTCCAGTTCGATTTGACTGAATTGGATCAATCATTTGTGCTTGAGCAGCTTTTGTCATTGAAGGCAAACAAAGCGATTGGTCTTGACAAAATTAGCGCGAGACTTCTTAAAATCTCAGTTCACACTATTGCACCATCTGTTGTTAAACTTTTGAATCTTTCAATTCGCACTGGTCAATTTCCCAATTTGTAGAAATGCGCGAAAATCACGGCATTGTTTAAGTCAGGTGACAGGACTAACGTTTCCAACTACCGCCCCATCTCAATCCTCCCTACACTAAGTAAGATTTTTAAGATAGCGGTACACTTGCAGCGGTATCAGTACTTGATTACCAATCATTTATTGTCCAACAAGCAGTTTGGTTTCCTGAAGGGTCTCTCAACTACAACAGCTTTGACCTCATTTGCCGATGAGGTGCTCTTAAACATGGAACAAGGAAAGCTTTGCGGGGCCGTGTTCGTCGATCTAACCAAGGCATTTGACACGGTAGACCATCAAATAATGTCATGCAAGCTATCCGAGATCAGCTCTTCACTGGTTCCGTTCTTACTTAACTGGTAGACAACAGCGCACCTCATGTGGAAATGAGTTATTTGAGGAACTTCCAGTCACGCATGGGGTGCCACAGGTTAGCATTTTAGGGCCTTTGTTGTTTGTGATTTACATAAATAACTTGCAAAATGTGCTTCACTCCTGCTACGCGTCACTTTATGCAGACGATACTGTGATTTATTGCTATGGTACATCCTCAAAGGAGTTGAGTGATAAGTTAAATAACGATCTGCTAAGTGTGGCGAAATGGCTTCATGATCACGAACTGACTTTAAATTTGGACAAAACTAAATGCATGCTTATCGGTAGTAATAGGAAACGCGAAAGCAAAGTAGATTTGTCTGTTNTGGCTGCCTCTAGAGAAAAGGCGATTTCAAAGAAGGTGTGTACACGTATACAAATGCATCAATGGCCTAATTAATCACAATATGGACTTGATTAGACAAGACGTACTTCATGGGCATAATACACGTAACAAAGGCAAATTTAGATTACCACGTGTCAAAAGAAATTGGGGGAAGCAAAGAACACAATATCATGCCGTTTCCGATTTTAACTCCCTCAGTCAGACGATCAAAGACTCAAAGAATGTGAATAGTTTTAAACGTAATGTATTTAAGTTTTTAATATAGCTACTTATGTTTAATTTTTATTTATACTTATTTTTAATTTTTTATGCATTTTTTGTATCCTTTTAATTCCTTCGCAATTTTATTGCTTTTTTGTTTCTACTATATATATCTAGTTTCGAGGTCCTTTTTGAAAACCATATTTGTTATGAAAAAGTTTCCTCAATAAAGATGATTATTATTAACCCGACCCCTAAAGCTGCTCTGAGAGCAGTTTTGTCCTCTCTCTCGCCAAATAAACTAACTATCAGATCAAACCTGATTAGGCAGTGACTTTATTGCAAAAATTTTTAAGGACTATTTACATTCTAGAAAACGCTACAAAATAAATAATCTACTGGAAGACAAAACTATAAATATTTGAAGTGTTTTTCCGGCTCCCTCTCTCAGTCTTCTTAAGATAATAGCAGAATCCCCTTTTCGATACACCTGTATTACAGCTTTAGATTCAGTTTTTGTGATCCCACTCCTCCACATCTTAACAGAGGAATGAACAAATGGATTAAAAACACCTGAACAAGAGCTAGGCAGATATAAAAATGGTGAAAACGGTGAAACTGACCTATTTCCTACGAGTCCGGTTTTATCTATGGCTTACAATTATTACACTAGTTATTAATTTCGCCAGGAAAAAATTTTATCGGATTCAAAGACTTGATGCTATACGTTTTGAATAGAATGAATTTTTTAAGATCTTTGATGAAACATATAGTAATTTATTCAAACTTGAGATCAAGCATCAAACCTTTTGGGCGAAACAATTACAGTAGGACTCTTTCAGAGCTGTCACTTTTAATGATGGAAAAATTTGACGTTATTTAAATCAGACTCTTGTCAGCCCTATGCAAATAACGAGGGACGGACGAAAAAGACAAAGGGACGTCTTTATTTGGCCTCTGGGTATGAGTTTCTATTATTTTGACCTCTGGTTGTAGTATATTTTCATGGGCACGAAAAGGTTGAAAGCAGAACAATATGAGCCCTAGAGAGAAAAAACCTGGGGCAAAATATTTTTGTTGCGTGAGAAATCAGTATTTAGAGGTGCGACAACTGACAATAAAACTATACTGTGATAATTTGTATGGAGAAAAGATATAGGAAAGAAAAAATGCGGAAAATATAAGAAACAGTCGATACATTGCAAAGAATTAGTTTAAGGAAGAATTTCGAAGCCCGTTCTATAGCGATGGACCATAGGTATCGCAACCGAGGCAGCATGTGCTATCAAAGCATCTACAGGAATAAACTCATCAGTGCCAATAGCTCGCAATAAAAACGTGATGTCGGAAACAAATCCTGCACTTGCCACGTGCAAGTGATTCTCAAGAAACAGCTGCTTGAAATCTTACGTGATCGCTGACAATTTTCTTAAAATGACAAAACAAAACACAACACAAAGCGGTCTCCAAGGTACAAAAAAAAAAAAAAGATAACCTCTCAGAAATCTGATCTATTTTCATAGAATGATTCCTATTGGAATATTTTGTTTTTTGCTTTGCTACTGCTGTGAAGAATTTTCATAAGATCTCCTTCCAACGTAAACCGGACCTAACCGACAGAGGCAAGAATATTAATCAGTGTGGATTAATATAAGGACTTCAATAACTTTTCCATTAGCGCTACCAATGGAATATGCGACTGTACCCGGAAAAGGGGCTGTTAGGCGAAATCCAAGCACGGGAGCCTGCTTGCTGGCTAAAAAGACGGCGGTAACTGAGGTCTTCCAGGCGGCGTTAGACTGTCGCCGACCGACCTTTAACGAAACTCCTGTCAATACTTGGCTTAAATTCACAAACAGTATAAGCCGCAATTGAAAAGAATTTCAAATTACTGGCTCTCTGCCTTTAAAATTAATTACTGTAACTACAATTTATAACTTGCTTTCATAAGACCGAGTCGTGTGTTTCTCAACTGACTAATGTTCACCAATCACTTGCCAAAATGTTTGTTTGAAGCTTGCTTACTATTCACACATTGTGTATTGACTTTCTTATTTTGAATGCGGAAACAGACCAATTTAAAATTTATTCATTTGCAACAACATCAGTACCTTAAGTAAACGAATCACCTGCGTTGAATGACAACATCAACCAATTAAAATAACAATATTATTACAATAACCTGCATAAATTCAGACCTTATCAATATAGAACACAGGCGGGACTCTAACGAAGTAGATCTGAGGCGACACGTATCAAGTACACACGAGTTTGGAATAAGGTAATTATTCGTTATCTTTTAGAAGCTCGCTTTTGCAGTGTTTCATCTTCCAAAAGTTGTTAGAATCCAGCAGTAGTTTTTTCCTTTTAAATGGATTTCTCCTCCATTTATTTTCCATTTCGTCGGCGTGTTCTTCCGTTTTAAATGTCCAATAACAAAACATTCATTCGACGAGGCTCACACGAGCAAGTAAACTCGATAACAACTATACAGGAACTAGAAATTTAAAAAAGTGGAAAAATCAGGCTGTTGCTAAATAAACATTTCCCTTTAATTTCAGAATGGATGTAGCTTTAAAAAGTTCCGAAACAAGCCTTCATTTTGAATCATTCGACGAAACACGTGGTGGTGAAAAACTCCCAACAACAGTCCATGTGAATGTGACGTCACACCTGTTCCAAGAAGACGGGGAGAGCGGTCAATTTGACAAAAGAAAGCAAACTTTAGTAACGCAACTTTTCCCGGAATTTTTCATTCCCCACAGTACATCGGATGGATCCCCTGAAAGTTGGAAGGTCGTGATGTGCGGCAATCGGAGACTGGATTACAGACTTAGCGACCCACTTATCCAGTCCTGGCTCAACATGTATGGCTGTATTCATTAGAGAAGGTTCGCGATACAACTGTGACGCGAAAAAATGATAACAAACACTTTTTCAGCAGATAAATGTGAACTTATATATCAAGAACACAAGCACTAATATACGGCAGGAGTGCATAGCTTTATATGATAATATCTGAATATTGTTGGACTTACAGGAGAACGTTTTTGAGGAGATCTCCAAAGGAAAACATAGCTTGCGATGAAGCAAACTGTTTAACGACTAAAACCTTCACTTTCCAATTTCCACTTTGAAACTTTCCACTTTCGGTTTTGTAGCAACGAATTTCTCACTAATAAGCTCAAATGAAGCTTAAAAATAAATAGGCAGATAGAATAGATATAGTGGAAGCTATTATCAAATGATATTGTAAATACAAGGATTTGTGTGGCAGAGAATCGATTATGTTATTTATTAGAAACAGATGAATGAATTAGCCTTCCTTACTTTAGTGCTTTGTTTTTTCTTGTCTCTCGCGAAGCTTGTAAGCCGCCTCTTCGTGGCCAAGCAATGATCTGTTTTTTCCTCCAGCAAACCTGAAGCCGGAGGGCATAAGCCAAAAAATAGGACTATGACTAGAGAGAGTTACCTTATTTCAAGTACAGTGATGCTTCTTCGGAGCTGTTATTTCATTATTTTTGTTGATTAAGAATCAACGACAAGTTGTTTAAAACCTGACGGTATGTTTTCTGGATACATCGCCTTTAAATTCACGAAGTGCCGCTTTTCTCCAACAAAGCTGAAACCTTTTTTCATTGCTTTTAAAAGGCTTAGCAATTTACTAAGATCCATCGAGATACAGCATATGAAATTAAAGCGAAGGCTTTCTTAGAAGTGTCGGGGAAACAAAAGTAATTCCCTCGGTAGACATGTTTTTTCCTCTTGAGAAGGTTTTATTTCAGCTCCCATTTCAGAGCAATTGTAACAAATGAACTATACTGGCTATGATGATCGCTTTCGAATTTAAAATGTTCTGGAAACTATAACTTTGAAATTTCTACTGCTCTGGACCCGTCTTTAATAAACGCCTGCAAATATTTCAAAGCTAATAGAAAAATCGTGATACACAGATAAAAACCATTCTTCTCACGTACGCGGGGCACTTTCAATGGCTCGCTTGAGATGATGTATTCTTTTGAATTTTGTACTGGAGAACGAGATCAGAAGGGCTAATTTAAATTTAAACAAAAGAATATTAATCCTGCAGCCAGTAATGAAAGTGGTCTATAGCCCTTACGATATTTTTGGAACTTTCTGTCTATTCAGTAAGATGAAGAATTTCCTATTTCTAGTAAAGAGCGTCCTCGCCCTCGCAGGACTCCTTAATTCTGGAAATTGTAAGTTCCCAAAATTTTCCACCATTTTATTCTTGTACTCCGATATTCAGCAAGAAATATCGTCAAGTGGTGTTTAAAAACCTCGATTCTACTCCAAAACGCTTTATCTTAATATTTCCTATAACAAATTATGTATATACATATATTGCACGAATACCGAACAATTTCATTGACATTGGCACTCGGTGTCAATTTTGAAGGTAATTTTAAAGCATTATCGGTGACGGCTAAGCAAGATCACCTATTAATTCTGCTTTTACACAACACAGTTGAAAGATGGTCATTTGCAAAGTAATATTGATTTACCAAGTTGCAATGACAATCTGTGACAGTTTGGAATATATAATACCGTAATGGAAGTAATGTATCCTAACTGAATCCTTAGTAAAAACTTGATGCGTGTTCTCATTGGTCAAGTAAAGGTCCCCTGACTACCTTACTGGGAACTAAATCGTCAGACAAAAATATGTCAAGGATACGTACGTCGAGGATCTAAAATGACTCCTTTAGTTTTGTTTGCACTTATCAATAGAAACAAAAGAACGCTTTCAGTTGAGTATTATATGACTTGAGCCCAAGAAGGGAGAGAGTTTTACAATGATGTCAAATCTCTTATTCCCATTCCCAACCAAAAAACTCACGGATCAGTAAATAAAAAAAAAAAACCTTCACATCCCTCGTGTGTAGATCGTCGATCGCTGTAATGGTAACGTTAACCGCTGATAACGGCCTTTTTGTAAAAAGAAGACATGTTCTCTTCCTCGCAAAAAATGAAACATATTCCTCTACACATTCTCACTTAGTCAAACCTGCCCCCGTGTTCTGACCAGCTGGTTGGGATCTGAATTTTAGGTTTTGTGTTAAGTCCTCCATCTTAGGAAGAGGGCGTTTATCGTGTCTAGCCAAGAAAAGCAGATCCTATCTCAATCCAAGATCTTTACCCAGATTTTAATTTACATCACTTATTAAAAATGACATTTACGAATCCAACAACATAAAAAGAAAACAGTTTCTTAATTTATTAGTCTATTAGTAACAATGTTTTCTTTTTTTCTTTTTGTTTTCAATTTAAAACAAGCAATGAATTACAACTTACCTTTTCATACATGTAAAGTCGAACATTGCCTTGAGCCTTGATTCAGTAATTAGGTCCACGAATTCTTGACGAAGCACTATCTTCTTTCTTTTGGCGGCGCCAAACGAAAGTCAAAAGAATGAAAGGAAAACAGTGAATTCTGAATTTTTCCAGCCAGATTTCCTTCACTGAATCCTTGGATCAAAATCAACAAAAACAATTTGGAAAAATTACTGGTTCACAACAATCGGAAATATTTTCATTTAGGTGTTCAAACGGGACTAAATGTAGTAAAAAAAACTGCTTTTTAGGAAAATTTCTCCTTCGTACGTGCTGTTTTTCCCTTGAATTCATCGGGTACCTCCCACGTGAAGAACATTTCTCATAGAGAGCATCCGTAAAAACATAAACAACACAGGAAATTGGATCGATAGGAAAACATGCACGAAAGTCACCTACAAAAGGCGACATTATAAATTCAAATCAAAGCATCTTAAGCTATAAAATAAGTAGTGGTTGTACACCACGTAAAGAGCTCAATTGATGCCGAGAGAATTAGACCTATGATAGACGCCTATAAGAGAGCAATACCGTAAAAATCTCTGGTCTAATATTGCCCAAAATTGTTTTTGTCTGTATATATCGTTGTACTGCTGTAAATGTTGCTGTAAGTCGAAGAGTTCAATTTAAAGAAGAAACAAATCAGCAGGCGAAGTAGGAAAATGTCGGAGGATTCCGTTAGTTCTACCGGCCTCGTACCTCGTATATCCTATTCAAGGCATTTTGGTATCGGCGACTTTGCCTCAAATGAGAAAATTCATCAACATACGGAAAGGTCAGTTCCAAGCAAAATTATCTGTGCTAAAGAGAGAAACGAGGGTTGCCAAAATGACAATCTGATGAGGAGAGAAACATCTTCAATTGAAATTAAGGGCTGCAGAGGGACTCGTTGTGGAGCAAATAAAGACAGCACAAGAGAAAAGAAATATTTATCACCGCCTTCTCTAAAATTTGAAACCCCTTTGTGTGCGACGAGCTTTCCCCAAAGAAAGTTCACCACCGACAACTCACAGAACCTTTTCAGAACTCGTTCAGTAGGAAGTGACTTATCGTGCGAATTTTCCAGAGGAGAAGCCTCCAGGTTTAAAGAACAGGTCTCATTTAAATTTTACAACGATAGACAAGGAAAGAAATACTATCAGACATTGATGGTGGAAAGTGTCCAACGGGGTTCTTGCTCAGAAAAACCGAATGATGAAGATCAACGAGAGAAAATTATAAATTCGTGGATGCAATTTTTCGGATAAGAATGATAGCTGTCGGCTCCTTGTTGCAAATGTCCTTACTTGAACAGGAAGAGAAAGAAACTTTGCCAATACAACGAATGTTGTCGCAGCTAAAGAAAACTCAAATTGAAAAACTGTGCTGCCTGAAGGACAATAACGGATAACTGCCATAGACTCAACTGAGGAGGAAGATGCGCGTCTAATGTCAATTTAAGATTACCTTATAGCGAGCAAGATTGTACAGAGACTGTGGTGCTGCGTCGGGGCGGGGGGGAGGGTTATTACAAAATAATCTAAAAACCGAATTGATAATCTAATACACATGAAAGCGATCTTCGCAGTTGTGAGCACTACTTAAGCAGAAGTGAAAATACGGCCTGAAAAAAAAAAAATTCAGGCCGGCCTGTACGAGATTTGAACCCATTACCTCGAATGGAAAGCGTTTGTTACTGCATTAGTTTCAGTTTACTTCACCTCGGTCGTGGTTGATGATCGAGAAAACTTGCGCCACATTTTAACCACTATGATACAAGACTAAAGCCTATCGCAGCTTAAGTCTTCCGCGCCGTTTTCCCGCGTTCGTATCTATAACATATTTACCTTACTGAATTTCTTATTGGGTCTCTGTCGTAGGATTTTTTATATCTTTACAAGATAAGAATTACTCATCTCATGTTACAAAGTAAAACGTTTAAAGAGTAGTCAAAAGGTAAAATATAGGAAAACCATGTAAAATAATTGTATGACATTTGCCTTTATTTTGATCGGCCCTTAGTTATTTCTTGGATTTCATTTATGATAGTCAATCGATAGGTGTTTAGTATAGTTTCTATTATTTATGTCTTGAAAGGTCTTGATTATTTTGATATGTGTCCCATCATTTCAGTTTTCATATTATTAGTAAGAAGTTTGAAAGTCATCACAGGGCCTAATGGTCCACCATATTTGATTCCTCACTTCTTCACTGGCAACATCTTGTCTTCTGTTGATACTTAGAATCTTGCGATTAGTGAAAGAAGCCTTCATTTGGAGTGGGGATGCAAAACAAGCGAAGAATTTTTTACAGGACCATGTAGCCCCTCGATAGCTACCCACCCCCTTCCGTAGGCCCCTCCAAACTTAGTAAATATCGAAATCATACTCTACAGGCTCGAAATGCCATGCTTTTGCATGAAATTGGGAGGGGGGGGACTGAATTTTCTATGTTAATATAATCAATTTGAACCACAGGGGGGAGCCTATGGTATTGAGACCGAGTATAGCCATACGGTTATTGATTTCTAACATTATTCACAGTGATTTGCAACCCTGACGAACTGGGCTTGACTGTTCAAGTGTTTCTTAGGTAATGCAATTTGTAACTCTCTATTCCCACAATCCTTTTGCTTGACTTGTCTTTGATCTTCTGTTTTGTTCTAAATGATTTGATGAGTTTTCGTTACGGTCGATTCCTTTTCTCCACCGACGTAATTCCCTATTAAATTGGTGGGACGTCATGGAGGCTGGCCGTCCTGAAAAACCCGTAAATCACTAAAAACAACACAGAAGACAAGAGATGAGTTAACATAACTCATCTGATTGCCAGGAGGGCTGTTAACAAGTTTCAAAAAAAAAAAAATTGAAAGAAAATAACTCATAGCACCCGACACATGAAATTTCGAGGAACACCTCTGACCCAGACCTTCGCAGTCCAGTTGCCTGGTTACTAAGCCAACAAACAAGGCTATGACGTGAATTCCCTAATTTTAGGCCTTACACAGACGAGCGAATTAGTGGAGTGTTTCCAACTAGATGTGAGAGAGATTTTACTACATATCGCCGCTTTAAGACTGTTCTATTACCATTTTAAGTAGTTAGATAATCAGCAAATCAAGATGTGGAAGATTTTTGGTGGAAAAAGTAAGGAGCAACCGCCAACAACTCAAGAGGCGATTCAGAAATTGCGATCCACAGAGGAAATGTTGACGAAAAAGAGTGAATTTTTAGAAAAGAAAATCGACGGAGAGACAGAAACAGCAAGAAAACTTGCTTCAAAAAACAAGAGAGGTGAGAACAGAGTGTGTATCCGTGGCTATGCGTTTATTTCCTTTCTCTCCGTGACTCGTAAGACGACATGCCATTAGATTTAAGGTTGCTGACATAGTTGTATGTTTGATGACAAATTGTAGCTGCTCTTATGGCATTGAAGAGGAAGAAACGACTCGAAAAACAACTGCAGCAAATCGATGGAACATTGTCTACGATTGAGTTTCAAAGAGAGGCGCTGGAGAATGCTAACACTAACACCGAAGTGCTTAAAAATATGTCGTATGCTGCAAAAGCATTGAAATCTGCTCATCAGCAACTGTGAGTTTACTTTTAAGATATTTTGTGGGTCAAGGACCCTTTCACGTCCAACATCTAAACAGCAATTCTTCACACTGCCTACCATTTACCTTTCTTGTGATATTTGCTCTAGGAATTTGTTGTTTAATCAAACAATATCCTTTGAATGTTTGTGTACTTCCACTTTCTAGCCCCACTGCTCGAAAATACCCATATATTGGAAAGAGAACATCCCTTTTGGTCATTCCTGGGATTGAAAGGGCAATGGCAGACCAGCTCTTGCAAGTGAAAAAAAATAACTCCCCATTTCATTTGTCTAACTAATTGAAGATTTCTTTGTTAACCACTTTTACTGAACAACAAGATAACAAAGTTAACCATGAAACTGAAAAGAACACCCACATTAAGGGTTATTGGAAGAGAGAACAAACACTTCATAGTGGTATCATTAAATTGTGGTACCAAAAGACAGACTAGAATGGCAGGCAGGTAGTTTTGAAGGCCTGGATAGCATCTTGTACCCAGGAAGTCCTTGGAAAATTAATTCTCTTACAGTCACATTTTCCTGCATTTTGCTGTCAATTGAAATTTATGATGCACTGTTTTTCCTCCCAGTCAACCAATTTGTTGCATGTATATTGAAAGTGTAATGATATTTGTGCAAAGGTCACAAGTGGGTAGCTAGCACATTACCAGCAGGTAGATCTCCTACCTGTTACCCAGCTGCTATTGAAACCCTTGCTTTAAGTTGCATTTATGCCAAGGGTTTGTTTTTTCTCATCATGAGGCTTCAAAAACTTTGGGCTATAGTTAGATGTGATCAGAGTTTTGGCTTGTCTTTGCCAATCCAATTGCTTTTAATGAAGTTTACAAAACTTATCTAACCCGTACACAACTACACAAGACATTTTACTATTGGGAAACAGAGGTCAAAGATCGAGGTATTACTTGACTGATTTGTGTATAAGAACTCCTCGTGCCTGGACAAGGTAGTTGGAGTATTGTTTTATTACATTTGTAAACTCTTTCTAAATCTGTATAAAAACTAGTAGATAATTTCAAGTTGCCAAACATTTTCCCCAAGGATTTTTAATAAATAATAAGAAGTCATTTGTTATCAGAGGTGCTATGCCATGTGATGCTCCCATGTGTGACCAAAATTTCTCCACCTTCCTTTTTTTATCTGTGATATTTTCTTTGTCTCGGTAGTGATGTTGATGATGTGCATGAAATGATGGAAGACATTCAGGAGCAGACAGAACTTGCAGATGAAATATCTAGAGCCATATCAGAACCAGCAGGCTTTGGAATGGACATTGATGAGGCATGTACCTAACATTATGCAGATTTACATATTTATTTACATATGTTTTGGATTTACATACATATGTTTCATATGTTTGTTGCTGTTTGATTATGCAGATTGCAAGATGTACACTTCTACAAATTTACTAATTTCCTAACTTTAATTTGAATGTGAATTTAGGTTTTTGAAATCACTATGATTTTTTTTTTTGTTGGTTTGAGAGTGCATGCAGATTGCCTAATGAGTAAAATTCGATCCAATTTATTGCAAATTTGATGAAAATGGTTAAACATTAACAATTTACATAAGATATTTTTGGATAAATTTTGAGTATAATGCCCTGATTATTTGAAATGGCTTGTTTTGCCAGAGCACATAAGCAGAGTAAACTAGGAAAATGCCCAATTTCAGATTTTTGTAACTGCTGCATGTTAACAAATTTGACCACGTAAACATTCTATACACCTGTGTTTTAAACACCAACTACTCTGAGACAGATAATAACAACAATAGTGTTGCTCCTGTGAAAGGATTAGGCATTTAATTTAAAAGTAATACTAGTAAACATGTAAAGCAATAACAAGAAGTATTAATTGTTATTGAGCTGTTTGTATTTACAAGTATGATGACAAGATTTTTTTTTGTGAAAATGTTCACTTTGAACTTACTCACTAGAGAGTGTAGTAACACCTTTTTGCTGAATGGCAAAATCTGGTCATATAAAGGAAGACTACCTCAGCAGTACTGCTTACCTTAACACGGGTTTCAGTAACATTTTACAAGTAATTACTGATTGCTTAATAGGCAGCTATGAACTTTAAAGAGGCTGTTAAACTCCTATTAATAAAACCTCAAGAGAGGGGTGAACTGTTCATTGATATCGTTGTCAGTGACAATCTCTTGTTCACCTGTTATTCCCTTTGCATGATGTACTTAGCTTTAAAAACCTCCTGTAACTCATGCGTAGCCTTGACAAGGTTGTTTAATACATGCTTAAATTTTGTCAGTCGTGGCTAGAAACGCGCTCTGCAAATGAATAACTAGTTGCATCCTGAGTAGCTTCTCACATTTACACTCTGTGCAGACATTGTGATTTAGCAGAAGTCTATCCACTATTTTCCAAAAACATACAACTTTTCTTTCTTTGGTACTAGTGCAGAACAAACAAAGCAGCGATCAGCTGCTACTAGCTGGAAACTTCATGGGTAAATTTTATGCTCGCTTTTTTATTAGCCCAATGAAAACAATAACTATGTGGTGATTGTCTAGTGGCCTGTTTAAACAAACAAATTGAAAGGATTGAAGTTCAAAAGTAAGCAGCCATTCATGGGGAGGAAAGTAGTGTGACAAGTCTAACAACAGCTGCAAAGGAGACGGGTAACAGGCAGTACTTTAGAAGAAAGTATTTGCCTGTCTTTGTAGGTGATGTCAGTTCAAACTTGACTCTAAATTTTTGTCAATGTTTTATCCCATGTAGGATGAATTGATGAATGAACTTGAAGAACTTGAACAAGAGGGACTGGATGAACAATTGCTAGAGGTTGGTGGAACAAGCAATCTGCCAAAGGTTCCTGATACAGAGCTTCCAGCTGCTCCAGGTAGATTCATTGCTTATATATTCTGAGTTCTCCATGTCCTCCTAGGGGAAACAAACCAGATTTTATCTCAATGATCCTTTTTAATAATAAGATTAAATAATAAAATTGCAGCTGAAATGAAACACTAATGAAATATCTGAAACACTAATGAAACAGTTTTGACATAAAGAACAATACTCTTGAATACAATGAATTGTGAATAATGCAGGGAAAGCACCTGAAATATGAAAACCAAACAATAGGTACAGTGGAATTTGTATCTGTAATAATAATAATAATCTTTATTGAGGAAACTTTTTCATGTACATGTGGTTTTAGAAAAGGACCTTGAAAATTAAGATTAAGAACTAATATATCTAGGAAGACTAAGAATATAAAATTTATAAAACACTTAAATTAGAAAATTATAAACCTGTCGTTTAAAAATTTGGCAGAGTCTCGTATCATCTCGCATAACTTACAAGTTATGTAGAAATTAAGCCAGTAATATTGCATTCCTAGTACTTCCATTCAATTCTTAATGTTATTTTGAAACTAGAATTGACTTTCTTTATGACAGCTTAGTAGCTTAATGATTGAAAGACTTTGTTATGGATTGTTTAGAGGTACATAGATACTTGATCTGCCTTTACAACAAAAATTGACTTGAAAAACACCACCCTTTGTGAATAAGTTTCGTTTTGTGGGAGTGTCACTGATAGTATCTACACTTGGGAGAGATCATTTAAATTTGTTTTTCTCTTCACTATTGCCCTTACTTCACTCAGCCAGATTGTATTTTGTGTTCTTCTTTTAGGCAGTTACTGGTAAATCTACCACCTTCAGTACCACTTAACATTGCATAGAATTCTTGAAAATTTCACAGATATAAGGATTGCTCCAACAGTTAAAAGGTTTTTTTTTCTTTTTAATGAGGGAGAATACAGGAGATTTCCTTGAGAGATAAAGCAGAACTTGTTCCTAGGAGAAGATGCTGAAAGATTTAATATGGTGGCCTACATAATAACCCCTTCAATTGACAAGAGAAATAGTCAGATTTGTTTGCAACAACTAAGATTGTCTTTTTTTATTTTCATTTTCAGCCAAAGCCAAGACTAAAGCAGTAGCAGAAGATGATGATTTGAGAGAACTTGAGGCGTGGGCCTCTTAGATTCTGTTAGCTTAAATCATTTAAAATTTTTTCATGTTTTGTATAGGACAGTCTTCTAATCACTCTTTCCAAACTCAACATATCATTTGAGTTGTGATTACTTGCTATATGCATAAGACAGTCAACTATTTTCCCTAACCTTTTTCAGTTTAGGCACTTATAACTAAAGCTCTTGAATTACAATTCCTGGTATGGTATTCTATAGCTTGGCCAAAATCAATGTTTAATGAAATCTTCATTGCAGTGAACACCCTGTAACAATGAACAGAGCGATTAAGCTTGGGTTGAAAACTTGTTTAGGTATATAGCAAGAAAGGTCATAGATGTTTAAATATTGTATATCAATATCTTAAAATGTTTATTTTTCCCAACTGTCAGTAAAAATTAATGGGTTGATACCATTTTTCAAATTGATGGAACACCAAGTACATGACTGACTTTTCCTTCCTTATCAATAATGATCTTGATGCCAAGACATTTGTGATCTGTTTGACTAGATACAGAGTTTCTCCCACTATTAATTCCTTGTTCACTACTCTCTTCTTGAATAAACAACACTGACAAACAAAATAAAAACTGGTTGACATCCAATGCCTTCTAGCACAGTGTTATCCATGAACTCAACAGTAACCCCACTGCTTACCTCATAACTGCACTCTTTACCTTTGGGTGATGAGCAGAAGAATGCAAGCTTATAAGGAGATAAAGAGTGGTCATGTCATAAACATTACCCAAAAGCTTCACTACTTCTTGCCAGCATGAATATTTTACCGATCTAACCTCTATAACAATAATTAGGAGTGTGTGGTATTGGCATAGGCCCATCCTTATTCAGGAGTGCATAGGAATGAGCCACTGGTGGTAATGTTATTAAATTATTTTTAATTCCTGTGTCAAGGATTAATTCAAGGCTGTCCATATACATATACATGTGGTAATGTTACTCCTGTTGAAATCTAGGTGTACATCTGTTTTCAAGGGAAGCAGTTGTACGTGTTTTTTTTAATAAGGGTTAAAAGATGGGTTGAACCTGTAGCAAATATTACATCATAAATTTATTTTACCAAGCACTGTTTTTAAGGTTGACCGATCAAAAGAAACTATTTCGTGTACAAGTTGTAATTAATTATAGTTTGGTTTGAAATTAGCCATCAACACACTGAAGATGTTAACATAATAGTTTGTAATTTCTAGATTTTTGCACCCATTAGTGGAAATTAAAAGATTTTAAATGAATTCTGTTTTGCACAGGTGATAATCAGTTGCACACTCAGTATTTATGTAACTAATTTCTTCCAAAGATGTCTGTAATAAAAGCATCTGAATTTGTTGACTTTAACCAACAGCTGCATCATTTGATGTAGTTTTGTAAATTTTGAAAGCTTCTCTCCAATAAAGTGGCAGGAATTTGGATAAGTTAAACTACAAAATAGGAAAGTATCAAGTGGGATGTTAATGTTTTAAATAATTTGAGTTGTACGTGTACTTAATTTATTCTAAGTCTGTTTTACTAGCCAAAACTACATGCCTGTGATGCCAAAATGAACCCTAAAATTTGCTAGACAAATATTGAGAAGAGTTTCCAGAAAATTAATATTTTACTCATCAAGCTCTGAGATTTAAATATCACACATTATTATTATCAAGCCAGCAGTAACTAATTCCTTAGCCTACCACGTGTTCCATCATTTTATCAAATACTAAGATGCTGAGAAAGGATGTTGCAAATAAAACAAAGTCTGATTACCGAAACTCTCTAACTTCTAGGAGTCACTAGCATTTAATTTTTCCTTTAATATCACCCATGATTTAAATGCTACGGTCATGACAATGAAAGACATGTATGCCCTGTTCTTATGGAATGCTCAGCCAGCTGAATTACGTGATATACAATCATTTTCAATTTTTAAATGAAAGCTGAAAACTTATTTATTTCGTGCAGCTTTCTCAAAGTACCCTGTCTGACAATTACTTTTATTAGTATTACTAATTAAGTTCCTTATGAAGATCTTTATTCCTAATTAAGATCCTTATTATGGTTATTCCATATTATTCTTATTTTTAACATACATTGTTAATATTGATGTACATGTAATTAGTTTTATAAATTTGAATTTACTGTAGTATTCTAAGTTGTTACGCGCTGTTGATCATTGAATGAAAATAGCGCTCTAGAAGTTATTAAATTAAATTAAACTAGTGAATCCCTTCACTGAACAATAGAAAATATGCAGAGTTCCATATGGAGATTATACATACTGATGGTTTATGATTATTTAACACTAGCATCAGATTGCAAATTCTCCATATTGTTCTTTTTATGTGTGCTAAGGTATTAGCAAGAAGAATTCACTAAATAATCAAGAGCTTCTTGACATAGCAGTCATTTCCTTTATACTTGTGATACCGTTGGGAGAAACTAAAGGCTAATCACTCTTAGCGGTTAAAGGGTGAATGCACTGATCCACAAGACCAGTCGTGGTACCTTGTTAAAATGATGGACGTATTTAACTAAAGCAAATTGCTAGATCAAAAGGCTTCCAATCAAACCCTACTATAATTAAGTTGCCTGATTGTCTTACTACAAAACAAAATTAGATCCACCAAGATGAGGGGGAGGGGGGGGGGGGAAGTGGGTAAGCCAGAAGTGGAACGGGATATCATTAAGAAGTCAAGACTCGAGATAAAACTTGAGCAATTAAGTGAAAATGAAGACCACTTTAACATGGAAATTAGGAGCTAGAGGCTCCACCACCAAGAACTTCTAAATTTGTTCCAAAGGTCGCCTTTTGGATTGGCAAACTTTGTGCACATTAGGTATCTCTCAACTGTTTATGACCAAAAAAAGCTAAATTTTTTGCACAGTGTCCTCAACAAAAGGCTTTTGTGTCCTAATTTAGGCAAGGAAAATTTTTTTCTTAGTTGAACAGTTTGGCATCCTTGACGTGTCCCCTCTAGCCATCACTACCAAACACCTCCTACCTGGTTCACATGGCGTAAGAACGGACCCACAGATAAGATATCAGCTAACTACACTTCCTACATAACAACTATTTTATTGCCTTAAATTGCATTAGAGAAAACTTAAGCAAGGAATCTATCATTGTTCAAGTCCTTTTCAAAAGACTAGCCGCAGCATCATCAACAAACCAGTGCAGTTCACCATTGGCTGGCTTCACTCTTGCCGCTGGGAGCAGCTCTCCGCTGTCGCCCTCTAACACTTGCTGAAGAACACTGGCCTTGCCAGCTCCTGTACTCACAAACACTACGCATTTGGCCGCATTTATGATTGGATAGGTTAGTGTGATCCGACAGGGAGGCGGCTTAGGTGAATCAGAAATCGGTGCTACAAGACGAGATGTTTCTTCCAGCAAAGTATGGGCAGGGAAGAGAGAACAGGTGTGTCCATCTGGCCCCATTCCCAACAGAAGCATGTCGAGGGAAGGGATTTGATCGCTAGAGTACCAGCTCTTTAGACGAGATTCATAATCTTTCGCAGCCTCTTCCAATGCAATACCAGGATTGATGACTAGTACCTCTCCTACAGAAGCTTTATCTAAAAAATGCTGCTTTACTGCTTGATAATTGCTGTCGGGGTCTGATATTGGCACGTACCGCTCGTCGCAAAAGAATACTCGCCACTTGGAAAAGTCGATCTGTTGCGACAACAACCCTGGGGAAACGATCTTCGGGAGACTTCCTCCTGAAAATCCCACTGTAAAAAATCCATGGTCTTTGATAGCTTCTGATGACTTTTGGGCGACCAAGGAACAAACTTCGCGCCTCAAATCTGCTTCGTTTGCAAAGTAATGCTTCGCCGCCATGTTGGAAAGGAACTGGAACATGACAGTCAGGGGAGGGGTGGAGTCAAGAGTTACGCTTGACTGTCACGCCATGAATGCTTTTCTGAGTGCGAGTGGACATTGAACGGGAAGAGGAAAAAATGAAAGAGACGAGTGTATTTAAATCATATAATTTTAACTAAGAATAAGTAAACTTTGACATGAAATACGTGTAACTGAAAAAGTGAGATATCTTTAGGTGATTCCGCTCTGCTCCAAATTTCTAGCAGTACGAACCCGACCAAGGACTCAAACAGATCTTTGGGGAAGAATTTCTTAAACTGTTGGTAGTCTGTTTTGCTCTCGAGTAAGGAAAAGAAGTGCCTTCTCGACACGAAGCGAAAATTTTGGAAGAAAATGGATTGGGATCATGGACGAGACATGGAAAAGAAAGGGCGTGTCTCTGGTGCGTCACCATCCAGCCCCCTCTCAGGGCTAAGCTAAAGGGGCACTGAGGAGCCCACACCCTTTGTAAGATTTTTTCTTATTTAAATCAGCATCATACAGGCGCGCGAAAACGTACAAATCTTCACGACATTAATCTTTTCCGATGTTAGACACTCCATTATCTCCACAAGAATTCAAGCCCACTGATGCACATTGTCAGGAGCCCATTACCCGGAGCTTCCATCTCAGTTGTACCCTTGAGTCAACCCTGTCCCCTATCTTTTTAGTTTTAGAACTGAGATATTTGCGGGGGTTCTTTAACCTTTCCGCAATAATTTCGTGCGACCACCAAGTGACACAATAGAGACGACAGCTCTCCTATGATTGGCTATTATAAAAACACCCGCGAAAACCGTCGTGGGAGGTGCTTCTAAACTAGAAAGATACGGGACAGGGTTGGCTCAGAGGGTCAGTATGGAAGATGGAAGCTCCGGGTAATGGGCTCCTGACATTGTAGAGGAGAGGTGTAAGCAAGTTCATCTAAGGTGTTTAGAGAGTCGTAACTAAGACCCTCTCCCTCTTTTTTAGAGCCCTTACTTTCTTTCACGTCCTTACAAGCGTCTACTACTGGTAGTCTAAGAATTTCTCATACAAATTGACGCATGTTTGCGCCATATAAGTGAATGCCAACGGCTACCTTGTCTTCCCTGCCTTCTGTGTATGCATTATCCTTGATCTGCCAGACGCTTCAGTGATTTTTTTCCATTACAATCATTACACGCACATCTTAATTGACTACCAATTGATTGTTTGCTTACAATTCTGGCGGAAGTTCGATGAACTTGGTTATTTTTGTTTGGGAGTAAATATGAGATGCTTTAGAAACCTTTTTACCTTGACATACTTTTCTATCAGAATCCTTCCTAATGGGTGGCCTTAGCGGCGACGGCTTGGCCATAGTGACTTACCAAATCCGTATAAATAGTTGCCATGTCTACTATGATGGAGGATCAGATTGGTGAGTAATCCCTGATTTTCAGGTGTTGGAAAGGTAGCCCTGAGATAAAAAGTCTTTTTAGGTAACTTGTCCCGTGTTTTACCAACTCGGCGAGAAAATTTGGAATTGAAAACCTCCACGCACGGTGGTAAGGTATAAATAGAGAAACTAGTAAATGTGTCAGACCTCCGTGATAGTAGGCGTTCATTTTAAGCCTCTTCGTTTTCAATATCGGAACGTTCCTGGCAGTGATGGTAATGGTACTATGGTAACTTTACAACTAAAGAGTGAAAAGCGTGAAAATTTCACACTAGTTCTGCAATACTTTCTGCATATTCTGAAGACTATACTCGGGTAAACATCTTCACTTCTAGTTTTGGTAAGTGATATTTAACATCTTTAAAAGCGCGTGTCTTTGATGGCCTTAGTTGTGAAGGATAAATTAATGTCTTCGAAACCGAGTCTAATTCCTAAAGTTCTGTCATTGGTGCTCGCTGGGCAGAAAAGAGATCAAAACAATCAGTAGCTCCACTGAATCTGGAATATACGATTATTCCATTCAAATGTAACATCAATTTGGTGCCGCAACTTAAGTCCGGTTCGCTCTTTACAAGCCGTAGTGTTGAAAAGCAACCTCGTTCCCAGGGCTTTTTCCGCCAAAATATTAAAAAAGGGAAAAGCCCTGGGAACGAGGTTGGTTGAAAAGGAAAAGACAAGTTTAGCTCAATGCCTATTTCTTTGACGAAAAAAAATCTGATCCGCTTATTTGATATTTCAAAAACAACGTTTGACCCAGTGGCAGTATGTCTAGAAAGACTAAATATGATTTTTTTTTCTTGTATGTGAGCTGAAAGTGAATAATTTTGCTCTGCCTTTTTTTTTTACTCTTCTTTTTTTTAGAAAAAACCAGGAAAGATTTATTACTCGACGTTTCGGGGTCATCGTGACTCCATTATCAAGAGACTAGTTTAAAAACATGCAAATAAGGAAAGGTACAAGAATAGCATAAATTAGACTGAACGGCTTAAATAAACACCTTGGCGCGGATGGAATCCGTTTGCACGTTCAGTGTTGGCTTACGCATGCGAATATACAACATTTCATTAACAAGGCAATCAAATTTGCCGTTACATTTCGTGATGACGTTGAATTGCTCGATCAAGCGTTCAGGCATTTCACTATTGTGCTGGAGGTGGTAGTGTTTGTAGATAGAAGATGATTTCCTTTTGTGCCCTTCTACGCGCTCGTGTAAGTGACCACGAGTATAGCCCACATACCCTGCATCACACAGGTTACATTTAAATTCATAAACGATACATTGTTGGTTAACAATAGGGGGCTTAATTTCGTGTTGCTTAAGCTGTTGATCGAGCTTAGGGCTAACGAACACTGGTTGGACAGTCACGCTTAACTTCGAGCTTAGACTGTTCAGTTGTTGTTTAACATGATTAGCTGACGACTGGTCCTTGAAGGGTAACATTAATCTCACAGTCTCCGATGGTACGTCTGGTGATGGACAGGGTTCTGCAGATGAAATCCTTCTCTCAACGAACCGCTTGATTGTAGTTTCAACCAGTGGCTTTGGGTATTTCAAGTTATGAAAAACCCCTCTAAGGCGGTCACATTCCTCGGAGAAGAAAGACCAGTTAGAAGATAATCGATAAGCGCGATCCACCATGGTGTTAACTAGGCTGCGCTTGTACTTAATGTCAACATGACTCTGGAAATGCAGAAGGAGACCCGTGTTGGTTCTTTTGATGTAGACCTTGCTCTCAATCTTTGGTGCACGGTTAAGCAGTTCAGTTCCTAGAAAGGGAGGAGGTACGTCGGAGGTACGTCGATGACACCCTGACCGTAATGCCTGATAGGGTGACCGCTGGCCAGTTTCTAGACACCCTTAACTCTACCCATCCCTCCCTCCAGTTTACCATGGAAGTCGAACGGGAAGGATCCCTTCCCTTTCTAGGAACTGAACTGCTTAACCGTGCACCAAAGATTGAGAGCAAGGTCTACATCAAAAGAACCAACACGGGTCTCCTTCTGCATTTCCAGAGTCATGTTGACATTAAGTACAAGCGCAGCCTAGTTAACACCATGGTGGATCGCGCTTATCGATTATCTTCTAACTGGTCTTTCTTCTCCGAGGAATGTGACCGCCTTAGAGGGGTTTTTCATAACTTGAAATACCCAAAGCCACTGGTTGAAACTACAATCAAGCGGTTCGTTGAGAGAAGGATTTCATCTGCAGAACCCTGTCCATCACCAGACGTACCATCGGAGACTGTGAGATTAATGTTACCCTTCAAGGACCAGTCGTCAGCTAATCATGTTAAACAACAACTGAACAGTCTAAGCTCGAAGTTAAGCGTGACTGTCCAACCAGTGTTCGTTAGCCCTAAGCTCGATCAACAGCTTAAGCAACACGAAATTAAGCCCCCTATTGTTAACCAACAATGTATCGTTTATGAATTTAAATGTAACCTGTGTGATGCAGGGTATGTGGGCTATACTCGTGGTCACTTACACGAGCGCGTAGAAGGGCACAAAAGGAAATCATCTTCTATCTACAAACACTACCACCTCCAGCACAATAGTGAAATGCCTGAACGCTTGATCGAGCAATTCAACGTCATCACGAAATGTAACGGCAAATTTGATTGCCTTGTTAATGAAATGTTGTATATTCGCATGCGTAAGCCAACACTGAACGTGCAAACGGATTCCATCCGCGCCAAGGTGTTTATTTAAGCCGTTCAGTCTAATTTATGCTATTCTTGTACCTTTCCTTATTTGCATGTTTTTAAACTAGTCTCTTGATAATGGAGTCACGATGACCCCGAAACGTCGAGTAATAAATCTTTCCTGGTTTTTTCTATGCCTTTGCTTTAGCAAATCCCTGCTGATCAAGTGTTCTTTTTTTTAATGTCTTTTTTCTTGCGCGTCCAAATTTTTTTTCTTATTTTTGTTTACCATGTTCACCTTACGAAAAATCGTTTAGTGATACAGCATTATGTTCTCGTAAAATGAAGCTGTAGACTTGAGAAAAAATATCACGCTGAGATTGTCTCCTCTATCATACAACTAAGTCAAGCCACTAATAATTGCTCACCAGTCAATGACAAGAAAAAAAAAACACAATAATGCATCATATTAAACGTGTCAAGTGAGATAATACAACAGTGCTTGTTGTTTTCATAAGTTTTCAAGTCCATTATCACTTTCGTATTTGTTTAGCTGAGCATCATATCTTTAGGCCGGGTTCTCATGATTATTTACCAATCCTAACAACGTCGTAGACGGTCCAGTTCTCTCCAAAGCGCGGCTAACCGACTTGGGCAGGATGGGAGCGAGAAATGATGACTAGGGAGAAATCCCAACCTCGATCCCAGGGCCTTTTCCCTTAGCTGGGGATGGACCTATTCTCGCCCCACCCCTAACTATGGGAAAAGGCCCTGGGAAAGAGGTTGGGAGAAATCCCCTTCTCCAGCCCCTTCTCCTCCTCTAAATAAGCTGCGCTTATTTGGAAGACGACTGGGGACGAGTCAGGGAAATGAGAGGGCAAATCAGGGTGTTGGTGGAAGTCACGTGCAAACGAGTACACTTCGTGATTCATGTTCACGAGTGATGTTTGAAAGTTTTTATAATAAATCGGGCCTTTTAAACATCATCATAAGCTGACCATAAATCACAAACCGCACGAACACGTGAAATCAAATGATTTGTTTTGTTCTTTTTTTTTTTGTTTTTTTTTCACGAGTGACAAAATCGCTTCTATCACAAATTTGTAGGTAATTGGTGCACTTTACTCGAAACAATGACTTTCAAAACTTTGGAAAATCATCGTATTTTTCTTTGAGTTGGTCGTTTCGCGTAATATTTTCCACTGACACATCAAGTTTAATGATTTTCGTATTGTTCTAATGACATGTTAACTTTTACTTCTGAAACATAATTTTTCTTTAAAAGCTTAAATTTCTAGGGAGGAAAGCATGGAAATCTTGGACAGCACTTTGTAACCCATTTATGCATTCGAAGTTGACTAATGCAATCAAGAACGGGATATTTGGCTGAGTTTGTAAAGATCAGGTTCAAATTGCAAAAAAAATAAGGAACAAGACTTATTCGCCAGACGTGTGCATTTTTAATTATTTTCCCTTTTTCTCCGAGGTCATTTCATCGAGAAAAAAAAAGGTTTCTATACATGCAGTGCTTTAATTTGACTCACAGGTGGCTCAGGCCCATGGCAAGAGAACGTAGAACGTATGATGCACGATCCTCGCAGTAGAGAGCGCTATTTAGAACGTAGAACGTAGGTCGAGAAGGCGTGCTACTAGGATAAGGACGAATAAACCGTATAGGCCCAGTCTCCTGCAGGGCTAGGGGTAGGAGACGTTAATTTCCCACGCACGAGATTACTGTGTGGTGGATGTCCTCCCCTGGCGTGGGATGGGTGGGTGTTCACAGGGCCCCATTCAAACTAGCAATCTGTTAAACTGGGCTACCCTGTATGAATATTCGTAAATACATACATACATACAAACATACATCCATACATACATACATACATACATACATACAGTGAAGTAAACGGGAATGCCTAGGGATTGCATTGGAGCTGAGAGTCCTCAACCAAACATTACATGGAGAACTTTCTGCGTTAACCTGTTGGAGCCCTAGGTTCAAATGTTGAGGAGCTTAATATCCAAGGTTGCACCGTGAGACTTCCGGGTTTCTTACCAGTCCAAAATCTAAGTCAGTAGTTAAGAGATCAAAAACTTAAGCAGCCTTAAAATGAATGGAGCGAAACAAATATTGACGGCCGCGACTTTAAAAAGAATACATTTATTTACACTAGCTTATTTATCATTGTTTTGGGCGTGTCTTCTCTGCATGAGTTGTTGTTTACGAACTTTGGGCTGAAAACGGAACATTTTCATAATGAACGCTCCCGATCCAATCTGAAAATGAGCCATTATCCTGACAAAATCGAGCTTCAGTATGACATAAGCAATAGCATCTTGTTGAGTTTGGTTGATGTAAGAGTACCCTAACTTTGCAACAATATGTAAATTGTCCAAAAGACGAGCCAAATGAATTGATTAGCTTGTGAAGCACTTGCGGATACTGAGAATAAACTAACTAGTTCACAAGCCTGAGAAGTCCCTAAGTACTAAGTCATTGGAAACATTGACTCAAGGAGCAGAGAACAATTTCCTTCTCCTTGAGGGAGAATTCATCACTCTTATATGACTGTGGTGTGAATAGAGATCTTTGATACCTTATAAGACACGTTGGACGCAGGGGCAGTATGGTGAGTTCGATCACAAGGCGAATACGAGAATAATGAGCTGCGTGTTCTATCAAGTTCAGTCCTCATCAAACCCAAACGAGTCCAAGTTAAGAGACAGCTGAAATATATCTGAAACGTTGCTGTACTCCTATTCCAACTACTTATAATCTACCGACAAAACGACACAGAATTCGAACGCTGAATTTTGATAATGAAGCTGTGGATCAAGCAGTTTTGTAAGTTGAATGTATTAAACACGGCCGATTTATATGTTGTTAAAAGAAATGAGGATAGTAGGTGTGTGATGGCGAAAGTTTTTTCCCGAATGCGCACGCTCGAGTAACCATTGTATTCAGGCAAAAATCCTTAGAATAAACACCTGCAAATTGGAGCTGAAAATTTCCTGGAGCATCCAGTCCGTAGTTCAGCCAAGCAGCTAAATCTTTGACCGTTAAATTTTCATTTGAGCTCTCTATTTCGTTTACAAAATAACAAAAAAAGATATTATTTATGCACTTATCCTTGGTTTACTATAATATCCATTGAAACTTATTTGTGGATTTAAGTTGAGGAACTGATATTTTCAAAATTGTTATCATAACGTCCTGTTTATACAATTCCTATTGTCTAGGTAGTCCTTGTCGCATTCGTCGCGTAGAAATGACAGATAAGACTCGAAAGTTCTGAACTATCTTTAAATTTGGCCTACCACAGTGATATGGAGGCTAAAATTTATGAAGGAAAAACAATTAATAATATCAAACAATTCAGTCGTAAAGACATGGAAGTCTATTGATTGTCTAGAAACGCGGCCTCGGGTAGACTTCCTTTAAACAGCCGTCCTTTGAAATTCTTAGCTTTAAGTGAGTCAATTAAAATTTTTTCCTTCACGTTTTTCTCGTTTCTTAATCTTAATTCTGCTTCTACTTAGAATCAAAAACTGATTGCAAAAAGTTGATTTTTTATGCATTTTGGTCTCATTTTACCACACGTTGTGTTTCATTTTCAGGCGTTTGAAGTTTCGGTTTTCTCCGCGTAAACAATGTAGTGACTCGGTGTTTTATTATTTTAATTTGTAACCCTGGTGACTGCCCAGTCTGCCGAGATACTTATTTTCGGTTAGCAACATCTACCTCTTAAGAAAGTCGGCTCGAAAGCAAACAGGACAAATTCAAAGTAATTAGCACATGGGGTAATTAACGGTTTGTGTCATTGTTTTTGCTTTGATCTCGCCTGGCAAAGAGAAGCAAAAGAAGAACTGTTTTGAATTAAACAAGACACAAAAGTATCGAAAGCGAAGTGTATTACCACTTCCGGTCTGTCGCGCATTTAGATTAGGGGGGTTCGCCCCTGCCATACAATTTAGCGGAAACATGCAGGGAAAGTGCCTGCGAAGCAGAAAGTTATCATGTTTGTTACTAAACTTCAATACGTTTTGTCGTCTTGCTACAGGGAAACAGACGGTAAATGTTCAAATTTGACATGGTTGTGATCATAAAGATGAAGGGTCTTCCATGGGAGGCTACGGCGCGAGAAATTAGGCAATTTTACCGAGGGTTGGACATAAGCGAGGATGATATTCATTTAGCTCCAAGCCAAGAAGGAAAGGCATCTGGATTTGCATTTGCATGCTTCAAAAAGGATGATGAAGCGAGGAAGGCTATGTTTAGGAATGGAAATTACGTTGGAAAACGATACATCGAGCTTGTTCTAAGTAGCCAGTCGGAAATGGATAAGATTTTGAGCGAGGGCGTACGATTTCGCCGATTTGAAGGCGAACGCCCTCCTATCAAAGACATCAAATCCCAGACTGAAATTAAGTCGAGGTCGAATGGTTTGAAAGAGAGTTCAAGAAGTAGTCGAGATATTCCTCGGCGATCAAGGAGTCGAAGTCCAATTCGAAACAGCAGTGCGGTTGATGGTTCTAAAAGTCAGAGGGACCATAGTGCTTTGAGTGAGCGACGAGAAACTAAGAAGTTCAGTGAACGTAGTAGTTTGCGAAACGTAAACGTGAGAGGTGTCAATGGACTGTCAACGAAACGAGACGAACAAGACCGGAGGGGACGGGATAAGGAAAAGAGGAGGGATTTTGACAAAAGTGTCGATCGACGACGTCCGCGAAGCTACAGCAAAGATAAGGAAGGAAAGGGAACTCAACGTGAGACCTCTTTTGCCAATGGAAGGCGGGAAATGACGAATGGTTTTAGACGAGTTCTCATGAGCAGTTTAAATAGAAGCCGCCATGACTCAACTAGTCGGGATGGTTCAAAATCCACTTGGGTTCATATTACTTCTCTACCTTACAGTGTAACTGAAGATGAGATCGTTCAGTTTTTCTCAGGGCTGAATGTGCTAAATGTTCAGCTTATGTTTCACACATCTGGACCATATGCTGGGAAAAATAATGGAGAGGCGTTTGTGGAGTTCAGGACAGTTGGGGACCGTATACAGGGAGAAGACAGAAACCGTCAGTACCTAAAAAGAAGATCTGTGGGTGTAAAACAATGCAGTCTGGAAGATGTGTTGGCTGCACTGGAGAACAGAGATTCTTGGACACCCCAGGAACCAGCCGTAACTAGGCCCAGCTTCTCTCCAGAGAGTACAATGTATTCTGTAGGGAACATGAACGGGGAAAGTCAAAATCTTTCAGCTGCTGACATGGGTATGGCTAATGTTGTGATGAATTCTCCAGGAAAGATACCTATTCCTCCCAATGAAGTTGGTGGTATGGATGGGCAAGTTAATCCACTGAACCAGCTTGCTGCAGGGGCAAATATAAGTATGAATGATATCCAAGCAGGCTGTGTGATTGGCATGCGTAATTTACCCTCCACAGTTTCTGCTGAGGAGATTTTGGATTTCTTTTATGGGTTCCCAATTATTCCAGACTCCATTCGCATTCACTACCTTGCGCCTGGCCGATCATCTGGGGATGCCATGGTTACATTACCAACAAGTGGGGAAGCTCACAGTGCAATTAAGCAGCTTAACAACAAGCCTGTTGGAAAACGAAAAGTTCAACTATTTTTGGTCTAAAAGAGAGGGGAAGACGTTTCAAAGGATATCTTAGAAGGGATCATGTACACATGTATTTTCTTAAATTGACTAGATTTAGTATTATTTGTAATTCACATGTAAGTTAGTGGGTTTCAAAAGCAGAATAAGGAACATTTTCTCTGGATGCCTTGTAATATTGGTATGGGTTTTCAGTAGTATGAAACAATTTGATGTTGGTCATGATATGAAGAGTCAGTAAATTGTACCTGATTGGATAGCCTGTCTATGAAAGTTAATTTCTGTGGAGAAAATCATATATCTTAATCTGAAATTTTGATTGAGGTAGTTTTGAGAGAGACGATTTTTTTATTTCTATGTGATATAATGTACCATAAATCATTGTAATAGCTTCATCTGATCTTAATCTGCTAGCTGGAACACATTTTTGGTGCCTCTGGTAGTAGTACATAGTTTGCATGATCAGGATCAAGGGCTTGTTTGCTACTCAAGTTTAAAATCCATTGGCTTGAAAATGAGCTTTGGGAGTTATAACATAAGAAGTTGGAACAGACTACACTCAATCAAATATTGGCCAAGTTCAAGTAGTCTGGATTTTTGGTAGTGTCATGGAAAGAGGATTTACTCAGGAGCTCTTCGTGTTTGCATTGTGTGAGTCAACTAAATGTTTATTGGGTACTGTTTTTGTGATACTTGGACATTTATCCATTCAAATGGAAGTCTGGTCAGAATTCTTCACAACTTGGGTGGAATTTTACCTGTACACGAGTTAGGGTGAGAGTTTTTGGCTCATGTTGTGACAAATTTTTTTTTTTTATCAAGACAAGCAATCCACACGGTTTCTCTGATTCTTTATACATTTGGTAGGTTTGTGAAAAAGCAACCAGTTTAGTAGTTGCATTTTAGAACGTTTTGTAACGATCTTGTTTGTATCACGGCGAAAGTTTGTTATTAAATATTCAAACAAGCGACCAAATGATCTCTAGCCCGCTGTTCGTGATGCAAATCATATCAACTTCGACAAGAGTTATCTCGAGAAAGTAATTATTCCTCGTGGTTATGCCTCAGTGAACTCAGCTATTTGTGTTTGCCGTTTATATTTAACCACTGCTGTAGAAGATTTATTGACAGATACCGCTTCATTTGGATGACAAAGCTTGAGGCGATTCAACCATGTAGATTTTCTGCAAAATCATCTTACAGACTAAAGGGGTTGGCGTCATTTCTCTGGCGACAGTGGAGGGTTTTGACAGCAGGCATTGTTTTGGAGCCTAAATCATTATGCCCTCTGGCTCTGTCTATTAATAACTCACATGATTGTCACGCAAGGAAACGGCAGTTGGCACGCAATCTTTCATTTGTTCTAATTCACTGGGCATGGGTGCCTTTCAATTTAGAGATCGTTTGCCAAGCGTGCGACGCCCCTGTGTTAGTGGTTTTTGTTTAATTATATTTTATCACATTCCACTAAAAAGCACAGAGGGGAAACTTAAAACAGAACTTGACAGAACTTACCCTGTCATCTGTGGAATTTAGGTTAGCCGACAATGTGACAGGCAACGAATTTCAAAACAGGTCATACCCGTGTGACGGCGTTTGAAATATAAGAGCAAGTGATTCTTGCTGAAGAAATAATCAACAGATTCAACTCCTTTTAAATAGAGTTCTAAACTTAATAACACCCCAGAAATAATGGTACAAGTTTCAGAATTCAGACGAAGGATTCCAAGTTGGTTAATGATGTGGCCTGTTCCAGAGGAGTTTCCTTCATCTATCCCAGCAAACAAATCAGTTGTATGTGATCTGAGCGTGTTCTTTTCCACACAAAAAATGAACAATTTTCTTTTATTGTTCGTAGTTAAAAACCCTACATGCGGTTTCATTTATTGGAACGAACGAAAACGTAGGTAGTGGGTAGTATTGCTACTTGTTTGACGGATAATAGCCAATCTTTTGAGAGAATATCAATCCTTATGGCCGGTACAAGACCAAAGAATCTTCGATTCTATGAACTAATACTAAGAAATAATTATATTCTCTTCAAATACGATTAACCTGGATTCTGACAAACAGCACTGTTCAATTTTGGAAGGGGGTTCCCCTTTTGTTCACTTTGCGGAGAATGAATCTTTGTCGAAACCGAAAGGTCTTGAACTTGTCATGATACAGATGTTAACTTTATTACAGTCTGCAAACCGCCATCTCAAAACAGCAATAGTGAGAAATCTGAATCGAAATGAAACTGGCTTTAAAAAAAGAAAGGAAAGAAAATTAATTTGGTTTGGTATTGCTTCGCAGCAACTTACTAAACTCTCCAAATTCCTGCCTTGTATCAATCCGAAACACCTCGGGAATCTGAGCGGTCACTAATACATTCAGTTCAGGTATGTTCTAAAACCTTAAAATAAAGTACGACGAAGGCACTTCCAACGGTACGTACAGCGGATAACGCCATGTCATCTAGGATTACATCATTCCATATTATATTTAAGCCTACGTTTTATACAGTGGAACCTCGATTTCACGAACCTCTACAGGACCTCTACAAGTCCTCGGTATAACGAACGATACTTCAGTTTCCGCCGGGCTAAAGTTACAGTAAAATGTACGCCACAGAACCTCGATATAACGAACCAAGTTCCCCAGTCAGCAACCCGATCCGGAATTTGGGTACAGAAAAGTTGAAGAGAGAGTTCAAGAAACTGACTTCAACGCGTAACGTCTGGGAGCCAAATATCACCTGTTCAATAAAAGGTTATCATACTGAAGCAAGTGTTTATAAACACTCCAACTAACTTGAAGATCACCTTTCAGATTATCTCAGAAACTTTCCATTATCATTGGGAACTTTCAAAATGTTTAAATGTGAAATATTTATTTAAAGAAAAAGCATATCCAGGGCGAACTGTGAAGCATTGAAAAAATATATATATCGCGGTTGAATAAGCGGCCCAAACAATATCATGGTACAAATCGATTCTGTAAAGAATATTTAATTTTTTTTTTTTAACTGAAAGGACCTGTAAAAAATCCATTCGTGTTGAGTCTTTTGCAGTTCCATACATAAAAGGCCATCTGGGATATTTTTAAGTCATCAACACATTCATTACTTTCTTTCCTGTAACGGTGGACGAAGCCAAACAAAATTTCGGCGCCAGGATCAAAGTTAGGTTACAAAATCTTTTTTTTTTTTTAATACAAAGCTTCGTGAAAACAAAAATTAAATACAAAAAAAACAATAATTGAATAAATAATTCAAGGATTTTAATGTGTTCATATGAAAACTTTTGACAATTTCTGAACAAAAGAGGGTTAAAATAAGCCATTTAGCCATCCCTGGGTTTGGCCAAATGAGAGTACAAAATGTAGCGAGGTGGAATCGATCATTCAAGTGAAAAAAGATTGGAAAGAATCCTTGAAGTTACCTATTGTTTGCGTGAAGACATGACGGCCTAAAATGAGCAAATACTGCAATCACCTTAATAAGTCCCCTATCTACAGCTTCAAGTACGTATCTAGTAATCTCCTTCCTTCTCTTTCATAAGCCTCTCGCCTTTCCATCCTTTCCGATAGAAACTCTAGTTTTGTTGTGTATTTGGTCTAGGTAACGTTTTCGAATAAAGTTGTCCTGTCAGTTTCCGTTACATACCTACAGAAATGCATTGAAGCGCGGTATGGGTCAGATGAGAAGTGACGAATCACAGTTTGGTTTCATGAGTTAGTTCTTGGTGAGCTCTCTTTCCCCCAACTCTCTCTCTCTCACAGATACAATCCCCCATCTAAAAGTCCTGGGAGTTAACAAGCCCTCGGTGGAGGTTTGGTAGAGCCTTTACGGCAAATACAGTATTCAAAATTGTCTCTCGTCGACTGATGCTTTGTTCGTGCTCCACATACTAAATTGACAACCCTCTCTCAGCCAACACACACTAAGAAGTGCACGTGCAATTTCCTGTTCAGCCAATAGGAATTGCCTGTCATTCAAAATCACTAGTATCCTCGTCACCATCTACACCCCTGTCACTCCTCCCAGTTCTATTTAGAGACTGTTGTGATCCCAAGGACCCTTGAGAGCTGAATCGGTTGAGCGAGGCCTGGGAATCATTTTTCACCACATCCAGGCGAGAGGGTGCTGCTGCAGAGTGGAGGTCATTCTGGAATGCCTGTGGACAAGTGGGGACATTGAGCACCTATCCTAACCAGAAATGGATCATCTAATTTTTTTTTTTTACACTACAACCTCAATAAGCTATCCTTAAACACTCATATTGAATAGTGACATGTCACTCCATAACTTTGGTGTCAGACAAGTGATAAAAAAAAAAACCCATACGTCTGATGGTGGGAAAGATCAGCCCTACACCCTTTCCCCTGACCTGCTTCTGATAAACAACAGTTAAATAAAAAAAAAAAAAACTTAATCAGACTGTATGAAGTGTAGACATGTAAAACTCTGACATTACCTTTGAGCCTATGATGGGTAATCAAGACGAACAGGAATAAAATTGACAAAAAAAAAACCCTATAAAAATTCACTCTGCATTTTAGTATAACTGCTTTAAAATGTGACAGTAATTAACGGGAGAGCTAGTGGTGTATGCAAAAAAAGTTGCTAAACAGGAAATCTGCTTGGCCTGCTGGGATTTTTTCTTTTTGAGTATTTTATTAACCTTGCAAACAGGGTTCCTCCCCTTTTTTCAGAACAAATTTCAAGGAATTTTCCAGGACTCGAATTGATTTTTGAACGACTCCAACTTTCATCTTAAACCCTTTCATTCCCTAGATTTCAAAATCAATTCTCCTTACAGTCTACATGCATTTGTTACAACACTGATTCTGAAAATTTTATTGTTTCATTTAAGCAGATTTCCAAGACTTTCCTGGACTTGTAGTCTTTTTCCAGGACTTTTCTTGTACAAACAGTTTATTTGGGAGGCTTGAAGCTAAATAACCACTCTTTAACTGAAAGCTCTTTCTTCTTCAAAATGAGAAGAAAGAACAGTCATAGAATGAATAGTCAAGAGAAAAAATTATAAGGTCCCTTTGCAACCATATAACCCTTTTTTACATACGGCATGTAAAATAACATGCCTTGTTGCTCCAAAAATGTCAAACTGATTTGAGAATTAGTGTAAAATAGGCCACTTCTGAGAATTAACAACAGCTTTGTGTACTAATGACTCACACAATCAGCAAATTCATTTTTGTTCCCTCACAAACTTTCTGCACTGCTGAATTAACAATACCTCTATGTCTTGCTCCTCATCCAGGGAACCCAGATGCTGAAATGCAGTTGTATAGAGCTCGAGGGCTTTGGCATGAAACATCATTTGACCATGAAAAAAATTGCTAAATACCAACTGTAAAAGTATAGAAATCATTATTCATCCAAATTACATTATTGTGGTGTCTATCAAGCTTACTTGTTTTAATCAGCTTGATATCCCTTTCACTTCCAAGATTGGTAATTCTCTTTACTGTCTGTATTGTACTGTTTAACTGATAAATCCTTAATTGATATTTTTCTTTATTCTCATCATTTGTCCACTTGATATTGTATTGAAACAGTGAGGAGAAATTCTGTCTTGGTCACTTTTGGGAGTCAAAGGGTTACCGTAAGTAGATGCTAATCAGAGAACTCACCCTGCTATTGAGCGGCTACAAAGATATCCTTATTTCAGAGTGACAGTAGGCATTCCTATCTATTCTGATTATCTAAACCTGTACTTTGTCCTTTGACAAAAATACAACCAGTATACCCAGAACTGAAAGCTGCAAATTAAAAGTCCATCCAATTCTCACCCTGATGTCTTCCATCTTCTTTCTTTCAAATTCCACCATTTGTTCTTCCAGTGTCTGTCTTGATCGGTTAGCATCAACAGCTAACTTTTGCAGGTCCTCCTCAGCCTGGAATATACAAATTCACAGAGTCTTTCAACAAATTTAGTCTCAATTAAAAATAAAAAACTGCTTCTTTTGTATCAGCAAACAATATAGTCTACACTTCTTTGCAAGAGTTACAAGAAATAGGACATTTTCTTTTGAAATACCACCATAAATGATGCTCTAATCCCCTAGAATTGAAGTTGCCACCCACCTGTGACTGTAAAAGAGTTAAGAAAAATATTCTCATTGAACAACATGCAAGAAAACTGCAGGATATATTTAATATGTGGGAGATGCACTGGCCTGATGGTCAGTTCACTGATCTCTGGGTTAAGAGGTCCAGATTCGAGACCTGGCTGAATCAATGTGTTGCCTTCTTCAGCAAAACATTTTATTCTCACAGTGCCTCTCTTCAACCCAGGAATATAAATGGGAGTGGCAAATTGCCAGGGAAGCCTGATGAAAAGCTTAGCATGGGAGTAGCCTTGTGATGGACTAGCATCCCCTCCTCTCAGTCTCTTCAAGCTACATGGAAACTGGGATAACTCCAGCTGGGTGAACCACTAAGCTCTAGACTTTAATTCATGTATTTAATATGTAACATTGTGAGCTTGATAGGATCCATTTAAGTCTAGCTATAGAACATATTTCCTTGGGAAAGTTCCTTTCCTTGGGAACATATTTGTTGCCTGAGAAAGAATTCAAGGATACAATTTTTCCCTTGTTCTTTGGTTCTTTAGCCTTGAGTTTATCCACTGCTTTGAGTTTTACTGATTCTTTTTCTCTGGTGACGGCCAGTTCCTTGACATATTCTCTGGCATGTTTGACATTTGTGGCATTCAAAGACAATGGGGGAGAAACCTTTGCTTCCATGAAGTCTACCTGTAAATTAGATATTGTTATAGAATAATAAACCTTTTTTGGAACAAGGGGGGAGTGCATAAAATTGTGGTAAGAGTTAAACTTGGCTTTACATAAACAATTCATTTCACTCTTCCCAATACGAGAGTCTTCATTTAAAAGAATCCCACAGAAGATGGAGGGTAGGAGGGAAAGATGCTTATTCTCTTTGGCGATACTCAAAACAAGTCCACCACAACTAACAGCAAGGATACAACACGATACAAACAAACAAGTGGTCACATTGTATGGTCCCATTCCACATCAAAGCAAAGATACAGTTACAGTGTAGATTATCTGCAAACTCAATTTAGGAGAGGTAAGGGGACGATGTCTTGGGAACCAGAAAGGCTTAGGGCTGCAGGTACTGGTATCCCTTTTTATTCAATTTTTTCAACACTAGGAAGAGGGTGACAAAGGGTTTATATGTGATGCATAATTAAGACCAAAAGGGTCTGTATGCAATGCATAGTTAGGTTCCAAAAGGGTTTATATGCAATACCCATAATTAAGCCCAAAAGGGTTTATATGCAATACATAATTAAGCCCAATATGAATAAGTGATATGTGAAGTTTTCACAAAGGCAAGGCTAGCCCAGAATTAGAGTTTTTCTTTAAAATTCATGATGTTTGAGTTTTATACAATTTGTGCATGAAATACGATCAGGACCCTCTCTTTTGCTATCCTCTGGGATGATAAACCTTACTGGTAAATTTTAATTAAGTACAGGAATTTTCTGGGAAAGATGGTTTACCTTGAAAGAAGTGTCACTTCAAAGATTTAAAATAAAGGTTTTATCATCTGAGCCGGTCAGTTTCTAACACAATGGTCTCCATTATTTTGAGACAGATATCAAATTCCTGTTAATAATTGAAACACAAATTTCCTTTTACCTGGGCTCCCATATAGTCCTGCACTGCAGCTATACTTTCACTGATGCCACCTAAACTTGCCTTCATTGATGGGTACTCATCATCGGAAAAGATATCTACACTCTTTGATAGTTTCATGCCTTTTTCTTGCAAGGATTGTAGTCCTGCGGCATAAGCTGTAAAATCTTTCAGTAATGTGCTGAAAGATCTCTCCGCAAGGTTGATCCTCTCTGTTATAACTTTGTTTTCGTGATCCCTGAAATATTGCACCGGTACATTTAAACGCAGAAGTAATTAACACGAAACTTCTCCGTGTGTCACGCCCATACATTATCCAGCAAACAGAAAACTTATAAGATAGAAGTCGTTCTCTTGATCTGACACCAAATTCTCGTAACTTAAGTTTACAAGGAAATATATTAAATGACGTGCGTCATCTATCTGAACCAGATCTAAATGAATTACATTTGCAAACCTTGCTTTCGTCTCACTTCGCATCTCACTGGGAGTTGAAGCATTCAGATTTGATGTAGACTTTTTCATATTTCATCGGAATCTCACAAATCGTTTGTAGATACTGTCTGGTCAAAGCTTCGAGAAGCCACCTGCCGGCCTGCATTGATCTGCTGTAAATTATGGACGCGATCAAAACATCACCAAAGCAACCATTTAACGTTTGCTTCGCTCAGTGATTTATTCAAGAAGGCCGTAGTTTTTACTTCTGACGCAGAGATCTTTGCACAATAGTCTTTCGGTACAAGCTTGCAGTAAATGCATCCAGCTATCTCTCGAGTTTCAACAGCTTTAGACTTGCTGGTATAATAATTCCTCTCCTTTGCGGGGAGGTGAAGGGCAGTTTTTTCGTTTTTTTTTTTTGTATGTCTTTTTTTTTTTGTCACGCATGTCCGCATGCGCATTTGTAGTCATTTCCCGGTTCGCCATCTTGTCTCCAGGTGTACCGTTTGAGCGAATTCAAAGGCGTCTGTATTCGTTGTAATGGATATTTATTCGTTTCTCTGACCTCTGAAGAATATACTGAACTGTGTAGCTTGCTCTGATGCGATTCTAGTGTGGTTGTTTTCCTTAAAATTGGACAGACTGTGTCACGTGTTTTAATCAACCAGGTAAGAAATGATTACTGATCGTTTGTTGTTTTGTGTTGTTTTTCGTGAAGAAATAAATCCTTGCAGAGAAAACTGCTTGTTAGTTTGCTCAGAATGACATTTAATTTCGTAATGAACTTGAGTTCGAGGCAAATATACAATGACCTATGATGATATACCTGTTGAAAATCGTACTGGTGCAGCAAGCGCTTGTTACAAGTAACGTGTCGTTTGTCTATTTCTATTTCGAATTTTAGGCTCTTTTATGTTGTTTGAACCCTGTTATCCAAATGTGTTAAGCTACAGAACTTTGCATTTCATGTTACATTGGAAGAACTGATGATTACGGATCAGATTTTTTCTGCAAGTTATGTGCACTCACCAGGCATACAGGAAAAAAAGTTTACTACTGTATGCGTTAACCTTGACTTTAGCTTTCACATCAAAGCGTTGCTTGTAATTACTGGGTATGTGAAGCTGCAAGATTTTTACCTTTACACACCAACAAGTGGCTAGCTTATAACTTCTCCCTACAGTATCAACCATTAAGGTCACGAGAATAAAGGAATTGATCACCAATGCAAGAAGCTCCTAATTGTCAAAAAAAAAAATTCTCCTTGTCAGCACCAGAGGAAATGTAAAGAGAACAGTATGGAGGTTATGAATGTCAGTGTGAGGGTGCAGAGGGTTAAACGAGGAAGTGAATAGTCTTAAGTCTTTTCAGAATTGATTAGGTGATAAAAAATTTGGTTATTCTGTCTTTGAACAATTCCACTGCTTGATTGGATCTTTAATTATTAATGATCCAGTGAGTAGTATATTGGGAAGCTCAGGCTGTAGTTCTTTCCTGTTTCATTTTGTTTAAGTGGGGTAAGTGTGAGATGAGCAACTGCAATGGGTGAAGCTTCTTGACCCCTCTTTTAACTCACACAGTTCAGGAAGGGGTCAAGAAGGAAAGGAAAGGCCTGTTGGTGATTCCAGAGATTAAACTGATTGCCATTCACACACGAACAGGTGCATTTTGCACCTTAGGAAAATCTTGTTCAGTTCACACTTTACAGTTGTTACTGAAAGGAAAGGATGAGATTGTTCTACATTCTGTAGAATTATTCATACATCTTTTTTCTAATATAATGTCACATCTTTTCCTTTGAATATTACTATGATCAATAATTTGTATCTACAATTGCTCTATTTTGTCTAAATATTTTCAAAATTCCAGGGACACCCTTAAACATCCTGGAACTTTAATGCGAAGAAGGGGAAGTCCTCCCCCATGGGGATCAAACCACAGGTCATATCCTCCCTCACCACCACCACCACCACCACCACCACCACCACCACCGGAGTATCATGACAGGTTTGATCACCCTCTACCTCCCCCCTCAGGAAGGGTGCAACCTAGATTCTGGGATGATCCACGCTCATCAGGACCTCCTCCTTGGATGAGAGACAGGTTTGATGGTCCACCCAGACGTCCACCATGGGAAGATAATTACTCTTCTCCACACTGCTGCCCACCACCTTTTAGAAGTGATGGACTTCCACTGCCTCGAGGCCCACCCCCACCTTCTTTTATGGCTGATGGTCCATCCAGACCTCCTCCATGGAAAAGTGACTCACCCCCACATTGTCCACCCTCTCCTCCATTTAATGAGGATGATCCTCTGAGACCCCCACCATGGAAAACTGACTCTCCACCTCATCCTGCTCCACCATCTTCATTTTCTGATGATGACTTTGACATTCCTCCCCCTCCCCCTCCCCTTCCTCCTCCTCCCTATCTTCAAAATGGACCACCTAGAGGGAGAGGGAAAGACGGACATAGACGGGGTGGCATTCATGGCAGAGGATCACTCAGTGGAAGGGGTGAGGCTCCTAAAAGAGGAGGAATGATTTCAAGAGGTGCAAATCAAGTAAGGGGTGCCATGATGAGGGGTGTAAATAATGGAAGGGGTGCTCCTCCAGCCAGGGCTGCACCAAGAGGTTGGGGTGCATCTGCTAGGGGTATGCCCACCACAAGAGGACAGACTAGGGGCAGACCTAATGGATCTAGAGGAGTAGCAAGGGGTAGTTTTATATACAGAGGAGGAACATTTGTCTCCAATTCTGACAGTAAAGAACGAAACGATATGTCAGGGTTGTCAGATGATAATGGCAAAGGGTTGGCCAAATGGCTGAGTGCTATAAGGAATGGGAAGGTAGATACAGATGGCCAAACCTCGACAGCAGCTGTTGGAAACAATAATATTAATGCAGCAACGCCACAGAAACAAAACTTTCAATCAACAAATACAGATGCAAAGACTGGAAAAGGGAACCATTTTAAGACACAACCTAGTGTTGTCAAAGGTACTTAAAAATCCAGATAATTATGTGAGGAAATAATGCAAGAACTTGTAGAACACCAATATTAATGCACTGATCAATCAGAAGCTTCAACACTCCCCCTCCCCCTGCAATTCACAGGCATTTGCTTGTTGTCTGTGCCCTGGGGGTGGGGAATTAGAACCTTGCTTGGCTGGAAGGGGGAATTTGAACAAAAAGTATGAAGTCTTTCCAGTAGAATACAAATGCTATATCTGTAATCATTGAGGTGTTTAAAAGTAAATTTTGCAAGTTAATGGCTTGAAATGAAAGCTCAACAAAGCTGCAGTGGTAAAGTTTGGTCAATTTGTAGAAAGTCATGATTGCTTATTTTCCCTTTTACTGAAAAATTGGAAGAGCATTTGAGCTCAATTTTTGCCAGAGAGGGGGGCAGGGTGGGAATTTAACCCATTAATAGCCGCAGCTTTTGTGAAAAACTGTGTTTTGAACATATTCAAGCAGATTTTAGGACACTGTTGTGGTTTTAAAAGCTCAAACTTACCACAAACCCATTGACAGCTTGTACACTCGATGACCTTTCGATCCAAATGCAAAATGGTGGCCTGAAAATCTTGGGCACGTGCAGAAAGCAAAATTTTGAGATAGTTTTTGGGTTGAAAAGTAATGCCCCACTTACAACTTTTACTTTTCTCTCTTTCTCCTGTCCTTCTTTTCCCCTTTCCTTGCCTGAAGTTTCTCCTCACTTGCTGGAAATTTAGTAGGATTCATTTTGGTGTAGAGATTTGTTAGGAAACTACTCATTATTTTCAAACCACACGCTCAGAAAGGTAGGTGGGTAATGGAACAAGATTTTCATGCAGATTTTCAGGTCACAGTTACATGGTTTTTTGGCTATTTCTCCAATCTCCTTCACTCAATTGCACTCATTCTGGTATCATTTGCACTCATTCTGGTATCGTTTGCACTCATTCTGGTATCGTTTGCACTCATTCTGGTATCGTTTGTAAGATATTTTCAACCTGTTCAAGTACGTGCTCAAAGTCGTGCTCCAGGGTTAAAAGTGATGACGTCACAAGGTGTAGAAAGGGTGTGGGTTTACATGGGCGCACTGGATGTCAGTAGGTTAAACAAACCAATCTTTAAAGGTTCAAATGTTTGGGAGGGGCAAATGTGAGCAGCAGATTTCTCATAAAATGCTATCAACTTGCTAAAAATGGTTGAATCTGTTAATTTTTCAACTGAATGTCTTATGGTGATATACTTGACGTACAGGAAGCTATTTGAGATGGAGTGCTAGTAAGATTAATTTCGTACATATTTTATGGTACAAGAGCACATAAACATTACTTCTAAGGGCAGAGAGTTATGTGAACAAATACAGCTGGTTCGAGAAGGGTTGTTGATTAACTTTCGAGATGGCAGCATGCATTTTTGTCCTTTTTTTTTTTTGACAACCTTTCTCAAAACAGCTGTATCTCTTTTCCACCAGGATAAGTGGTTAGGTTGTAGGTAATGTCCTGCCCAGTTATCCCTTTGTTTTTTATCCTTGTCTTGCTCCTTTTATTTACTCCTTGTTGCGTTCGTTTTGTAGCTGCCATTCCTGGGAATCCTAACTTCATTTCATTCAAGAACAGTCTGCAAGAATGCTGTCAAAAGCAGCAGTTACCAGTCCCTTCTTACACAACTTGGAAAAATAGCTTTGGTTACTCAGGAAAAGTGGAGGTTGCAAATAATACTTTCAAAAGTAATGGAGTTCAAGGAGAGCGTAAGGAGGCTGAACAAGGGGCTGCATATGCTGCTTTAATAGCTCTTGGCCTAATTGATGCCTCAGTCAAGTTTGATGTTAAAACTGCTGCAGGTATATAATCATGTAGTTTCATTTCTAAGCTGACTTCTGGCCTTAATTACAGTCACATGATAGGAAGTCCCTTTGTGTGTCTTATTGCGCAAAGCTGTGGCCAGAGAATGCAATTGAAAGCTCCATGAGAATTGTAGTAATTAACATTTACCCCTTGAGTGTGTGTTGGATAGTTAACAAGGTGTGTAGCACCAAGTTAGCCATAGCCAGTCTTTTATCTAACAAGCGCAAGTGGAATAATTGTCTTTTTTTTAATTGTATTCGTTCATTCTTGATCATTTGAATATTTTCAGTGAAAATTTTCAGCTCCAACATGTTGCAACGCATTTCGATTTAAGGTGTCTGTTTAAATGAGCTGATAACCAGAGTTGAGCGAAACAATCAGAACACTAAAAATGCAATATCCAGAGTAGAAAATTTAATAATTGTTAGTAGTATAGTTACCTGTAAGGGGGGGAGGGCTAATTATTCTTCACCCCACATGATCACTCTTCCTCCCTTCATTAATTGTTTGGAATGGAGTTCATGTGGTTGATTGGAATACCTTGTAGCATCATGAATATTTTCAGTACCTTTTTCTAGGCCTAGAAATACATGGGTCATAGATAGTCATGTTAAAAGACTTTATTTTCTAATATTCTTTTAGACAAGAGCAAAACAGAAAACATCGCTGTTAAATGATTACTTTTACATTGTTTCTTGGAAAGGTCATTGAAGGTTATATGATTTTATAGATTCAAAATGGTTCAAACCTGGTGTAATGTACCTTGTGACTGTTTTGGTGGATCTGAATTTCCATGAATTACTAGTACCTTCTGCAGCCCTGTATTTTCGATACTTCTTGTATGGACTTTTAAGGCAAAGATTATTCTGTGGCTGATGGCCAAATTGTTCGGATCCATTGTGCTAGACTGAATTTATTCTGAAGTCCTTACCTGTTGTAAAGTTGTTTTACAACAGAACCTGATTTGATAGTGATCACTGTGAGGTGTTCATGAACACTTTAAAATCGATTTGCATCTTCTCTAGACTGTTATCTATATATTTCCATTGGCGCTGAAAAGGAGAATTTGTTCAACAATCATAGGGTTCTTAAGTTGCCGAACATGTCCTTCGATGTGGTGGCTTGAGTGTTTGATTTAGGCGTCATGCTGTAAGGAGAAACTGGATGCTTGTCAATCCTAGGTACTAAAAGATTTCTAACCTGCTTCCTTTTTAGTTGTCAAGCGGCCTGCTATAGACAACAGCAATGTGCTTGATTCAGCCGGCAAGAGAATAAAACTTGAGACGACTTCCACTTTGACTACTTCTTACAAGAGCAGACTGAATGAATTTTGCCAAAAGTTTCGTCTTTCAATTCCATCTTATGACACTGAAAAAGTTGAAAACGGAAAGGGCTTCCTTACCACTGTGGTATTCAACAAAAAGGTTTATCAGAGCGACGGACCACAACCCACTAAAAAACAATCCGAACAGAATGCTGCACAAGTTGTTTTACACATGCTGAACCAATGTCCTCCTCCGGCACCCAGCTATCAGGACTATATGGAACAATGCAGGAAACTCAGCACAGGTCAAGATCAACCATCAGAATCCACTGCTACAGAGGCATCCACCACTGCAGTCACTACCACAAGTAAGAATTCCTATATTTTACATCATAAAACAACTGATATGTTGTGATTTAAAATTGTGAAACCAATTTGACCCACAGCATGATTCCTTATTATGTATTATATGAGGAGCTGAATTATACTCGCATTTTGATTGGTTGTTACCTATGAGCTTTTAGGCGACAGACCCATAGATGACATCCAAATAACGCGAAACAAGTTACTTTCACGCGGAAACGGCAAAGCGCAACCGGCAAACGTGAAAAAATTGTGGGAAAAACAAGGTCAGGTGGTCACTCTTGCCGTTCACATTTCACGTAAACACGGTGTTAAATCTCTCTAATGTCAAAATGAGGCAAGAACATTTTTCAAAAACATAAAGATAACAGTTCCTCTGTCATCTTTAGTTGTAATTCATTTGCAGTTCAGATATATGAATTTC